GCAGCATGGGGTGGCAGGCAGCAGATTTGCATGGGGAGCTGGTTTTTAAACTGGCTCCCCTCGCAGACCGGCTCCTGCCTGACACCCATGCTGCTGCCTCTGATACAGCAACACAGGGTGGCAGGGGACTCACCAGGAGTGGGGCCAGAGCACACTGGCTGCTGGCCCCACTCCCAGGGGCTCCTAGAATAGTCGTCTAACTGCTAAGAATTTGTGTGGTTAGTCAACTATTCTGTTACCCTCTATCTAACAACCCTAGTTACAAGAAGAAGGGAGAACAATTGTTCTGATGAAAGGACAGGAAGCAATGGGCTTAAACTGTAGCAAGGAATGTTTAGGTTGGACATTGGGGAAAACTTCCTAACTGTTGGGGTGGTTAAACACTGGAATAAATTGCCTAAGGAGGGTTTGGAACCTCCATCATTAGAGATATTTAAGAGCTGGTTAGACAAATACCTAGACTGTGCTTGGTCCTGCCGTGAGGACAGGGGACTGGACTTGGTCCTCTTGGTCCCTTCCAGTTCAAGCATTCTATGATTCTATGGTCATATTTTCTGTACCAAAGTATTTAATACTCTTTGAAAAGCATAGCAAAAAGAAATGTACTTTATTGGGCTTCAGGAAGTGATATTGTATATATTGTATCCATGACAGCATGAGGTGATAGTCACAAATTAGACATTAGCCTTTGATGTTGCAGGTCTCTTCACAGGACCCTAAAAGTAGCAAATTTTAGATATATATTGACGAAGAAGCATGAGGTACAATAATGCTGAAATATATGCGTAAGCATTAACCAGAGATACATTGACAGATCAATTAACTTTTTAAAAAATTGGGAGGGAGGAGAATAGGGAAGCAACTAATGTAGTTGAGTGCCAGAAAAATTTACGAGTGTTTTCTATCTGAATGAAAGGATTGTACGGCTGCTGATTCTAGGAGAAATCTGTTACATGCTTCCACATTGTTTCATACTTTGTGCCACAAATGCAGAGGAGGAAGTTGGAACACAGCCATCCTAGTTCCAACCCATTTCTCTTACCTTCCCACTGCATTGTCATGCATTATATACTGACTGCTAAAAGATGGCAGGTAATTGTGAGACCCCCTTTTAGCATTCAGCTTTAGAAAATTAAATGGCTATTTCTTGGAATACAAGTTTTATACTTCTTGTGATGGTCCAGGTGTGCCTTCTACTTCCAAACTAGATAGTCACAGAGATTTTCATGATATAAGCGGCCTACATTTTACCATTTTAAAACATGACAGGAGTCTTAGGATGGAGATTAATTGTAATGGTCATTCCACTCATACTACAGACATGTCAAAAGTAGTAGCACCAATTTATAGCCAGTAAGTCCAATCTATCATGTTAATGCTGCCTATAGTATATTTTTCTGCTCACCTTTTGCATGTTTGTTAGATGAAATGTACAAGGATTCTCGGAAAGAAAATGTTGCACAGCACCAGACACTATCATCTGCTTAATATAGTCAAAGATGAAGTAAAAACCTTTCCTCGTTTTGCACTCCGAAGACCAGTTAATGTAGACACACTTTGCTTTGCTAGAAGTCAGTTTCCACACTTTTCCCCTCCCTGCCTTCCAAAAAGAGATGTGAATGTATTCTGTTGAGTGTCTTACCCATGAAAATGGAAATAATGTAGCCTGAGAGTGAGTGAATTTCCAAAATGTTCCAGGCTGTTTTCAGCTAGAAGATGCCAAAGCTATTTTTGAATGTCAAATAAGATCGGGAGTTTGGGAATATGAAGAAAGGACGTGAAGAAGAAATTTTATCTTCTCTACCAATTAGTCATCTTGGATCCCACTAGTGCAAAGTGTCATTGTATATGACTTGAGCTTTGATTTTTGCCTTTGTCATCAAAATACAGTTCACAGAACACGGAGGAAGAATTCAAAACTAGCCCTTGCCCCTGCAGACATGATTTAGTTCCTGAGTTTCCGTAGCATAGAAGTGAGCACCCTTTTGGGGTTTTAGTATGTAAAATTATAGTGTTCTTCAAGAGTATAAATATTAAATGGTAGGAAAAAATGCATGATTTATCATGGATACATAAGTCCAGCTCTTCAAAGGTATTTATGCACCAAAGGTTAAGGAGCTAACACCGCAAAAGCAAAATGTAATGGGAACAAATCTGCATCTGTTTGTGCAAAAGTGGCCTTGTTTCTTTCTAGAATAGAACTGTACGCACTCTACAGATTGAGGCTAGTGTGTGTGGGGGGGTAACTTTTTGGGATGAAAGATTAAATAAACTAGTGACATAAGATTTTGTGATCTTGGAAAGAAAGAAGCAAACACTTTGGGGAGGGAGGGAGGACGAGTGTGCGGAGGGGGAGACCCAAAAGCTTTGCAGCTTAAGTTAGTTTCACTTCATGATGTATTCTAAATATTTTAACCAAGTTATCTCCTGGGTTTGTTTTTATGCTGAAAATAATCCTTGTGTTACGCTGGACACCAAAGGTGTATTTAAATGGTTGTAAGGGTTTGAATCAGTGCATTCTGCAAGCTAAGCAGATGTAATCATGTCTCCCTCTGGTGGCTGTCTCACTAGCCTGCTGCTTACTCACTCTTGAAATAATAGCACGAAAGCTGGCCCATGAAAGCTCATCATCTAATAAACCATCTTGTTAGTCTTTAAAGTGCTACATTGTCCTGCATTTTGCTTCATCTACCCCAGACTAACACGGCTACATTTCTATCACTATTGAAATAATAGGAACTTGCATTTTATGTATTGAGTTCCTGCATCCTCCTCCCATCAACATCAATAATCTTATATTCGTTATACTATAATATTGTTTTTACTGTGTTATTTATTGTATCATCCAGTGGAAATATTCATGTTATAGAAAATATAAATGACTAATTTTGTATTTAAAGTTAAACATGCCTTTTCTCTGGAAAATGAACTTGTATGTGAAAAGGCCGCCTGTATATGACTTCTATAATCTAATCTGGGTTGCTGCGGTCACATCCACATCTGCAAAAAATAGACTATAAGGATTTAGTTTGGGTTTGAGCATATTTGAAGAATCAAGAGTAACCTGAAAAGAACAAGTTCATTTCAATAACTCTCCTTTTCAATATGTCTACTCAAAATATTTTTTCTGGTGCTTACAGCTCATATAGTGGGATTGGGGGAAACCTGTAAATTGTATAAAATAGGCTTGACCATAAATAACTTAAAGATTTCAGGATCATTCCATAATCTGTATTTTCAATCATCAGTAGCAGCAGGCAGTAATCCTAGAGAGAAAAAATCCACGAATAGACAAACCAATTTTTCCTTTAAGAGCAAAGCTAATTCTTTTCAATCCACTTTTTTATTGCACTGTTTTCCCTCTATCTATTTAGCTAACATAAGGATAAATTTCCAAAGCTACCCAGTTGGAAAATAAATGGGTTCACTGTTTGTCTAGCATTCCAATCTTTACAAATGTAAATCAGTCCAACTGCTACTCATTTAAACCGCCAAGTTCACAAAACATTAAAGGGCTGCTTTCAATACACAATTTAATCTGTGACAATTCACCAAGATTTCTGCTTGAACATCATTAGAAATTGACTATCTGATAAAGAGAGACCACTAGCTAAGGTCATGAGGGTCAACTTCTGTAATTATACGAAGTTTTACTGGGTCAACTACAGCAGACACCACTATTTGAAGGTTAAATTGTTACAATTAAATACATATACAGCTATTCCCATAGCTACTCTGTTGTTAAATGTACCGTAAACAACATAAGCATTCATTTCTGACCCTAATTGTGTCCAAGATGTCCCCATTTGGAAATTATATAGGAAAGAACATTATAATCTGTTACACATTAAACAATACTTTGTGGTAAAATGCATAATTAGCTGGTGGAAACTGGTTTCATTTATTCACATCAATGCAAAGGGGTTCATTTGGGTTACTCTCTTTAGTTTAATTGGAATACTGCAAGCACTGGCTTCCAATATGTTTTATAGATGGAGAGTTTGCCATAAACAAAAGAATATAATCCTGCTGCAAAACCAGTCATTAGTGAAACTTTTTTCTATATATTATTCACTAGCTGTGTTAAAAAATGCTCCTTTCTTTTTTTAAAAATGATGTGTATAAGTATCTTGGTAATCGTACACACATTGCTTAGATTAGATTGAAATTACTACTCAAGTTTGAAACTAAATAGCTGAGGTAAACATGCCTTCACCCACTCAGACAATAAAACACAATATTGTTTTTGGTAACCAAATTCTGAAGCTTTTACTAAAAAAACTGGGATATATAGACTGTATCACAAAGTGCAAATAAATTAAATCTTACTTGGTAATTAAATTTATAGTTAGTTCCTACAGGTAAACCTATTTGTATGTCTACATAAGCTTACCTGTGTGTGTGTGTGTGTGTGTGTGTGTGTGTGTGTTTACTCACATATATACATATGTAATTTTACGTACACACACTAAAATGTTTTGACTCAATGGCCATTAAATTCAAATGTCCTTTGGCATGAATTTTCACCTGGAAAACAGTATCTTGATGATGTATTATTTGTACAATACATTTATAATATATATGTTAAGCATCCAATAGCATATGATTGTATCATCCCCATTCTACTTTGTATAAAGAATTGGATTAATTTTTCATTCAGCCCAGTGGTCTTGGGTATTATACTCTCTTATCTGTGCAGGTGTGACCTTTTCTAAGACTCTCTTAGACTTCAGTGGGCTTTGAATCAAGCCCTTCATTGAGGGTCCAAAAAGTCTGAGGCACCAAATTCTGTTACAAGCAAGGAATGCAGAAGAGTGGCAGAAATCCAAAGCTGGGATTTCTTGCACCTTTTTTTGTAAAATGCTGCAACAGATGCAAGAAATACATGTTGCATTTTCCACACAAAATTATAAACATTTAAGGTAGAATCTTAGATTTAAGATCACATCGTTCCATTTACAAAGCTAACTTTCTTTTGTTGTTGTTGTTTCTATTTTCAGATTTTGTGTTGGAGACAAATTTTTCCTAAAGAACAACATGATTCTGTGCCAGACAGACTATGAGGAGGGTTTAATGAAAGAAGGTTACGCACCCCAGGTTCGCTGATCCAACGCCACATTGTTAAGAATATAAAGCACTATGTTCTTTTATCTTTTTTGCTCAACATGTATATAAGAAATGACACAGGATCCTACTGATAGCGTAGATATAGAGAGACAGGATGGTCGCGTGGAATAAAAGGCGGACTGCATATGTATGTAGTGAAAATTGCTCCAGTTCAGAGTTGAATGTTTATTAAAAAGGTAACTGTATATACCGCTGGATTTTTATTTTATTTTATTTTTTGGGGGCTTGCTATTGTTTTTTCTTTTTTGTGTTATTTGGCATGAGATGTTTATTTTGGACTATTGTATATAATGTACTGTAATATTTGAAGCACAAATGTAATACAGTTTTATTGTGTTACCATTTGTGTTCCTGTTTGCTTCTTTGTATTGTTGCATTTAGTACAATCACTGTCTAAACTTATTGTATATTTATGCGTTCTGTATCAACCAGCTATTTTAAATTAGCTGTATCTTTCTAGTAAAAAGAATTAAAGAGCCAATCCCAATCATTATGCTACAGTTAGAGCTTAATACTATTTACGTTGCAACTATTGAAAAGATAATTCTAGCAGCAACCACTGCAAACAATGCTATGGTTAAGGGTCTATCAGCACTTGTGTTAGAAGCCTCTATTTTTCAGGGGTTAAACCTCAGCTGTTTAATTGTATAGATCTCCTCCAAGAGCACTTTTATTTTATTACAACATTTTGAAAAATAAGTCTGGCTGGTTTGGGACATATTATAGAAGGTGCAAAAGTGAATGATTTGAGGTGCTGCTTTTGTGCTGCTAGATGTTCAAAATAAGTGTTTTATTTTTATTTTTAAATTAGCTAGAAATTAGGTCCTATTGCAAACCAGTGCCTTTGGGTATCTTGTAATATATATATATTCTGAAGTTATTTAATTTGGAAAAGTGACTTCTGCTCTTGTGCAGAGATCTTTTGTAAGATCCAATTTCTTAGGCTTTGAGGTTTGTTTTTGCAGGGTTGTTTTGAGGGTTTTTTGTGGGGGGAGGGTTGCATCAAGACTTAACCCTAATTTTTCATGGAGAGTTGTGTGAATGTGGCAAGTGACTTTTTCCTAAAGTGATGAGGTTAGAAGGCACCAAGAACAGCTTCAGTTAAGGGGTTGTATACATGTGTGGAAAGACCCTTTTTAGCTGACAGTAGAAAAGTGATTTGTTGCTGACAACTACCTTCAGTGGCTGTTGAAGCAAGACAATTTAAATGCTATTGGTGGGACAAAACTTTTAAATATTACAGAAGGTGAGAGATACCACTTCACGTCACGTGAATTGTTTAAAAAAAAATTCTCGCCCACACAGGCAATTAAATAATTTAACACTTGGTAAGGATGGGGGGGGGGGATGGCTTTCTTCACAATCACTGTCAGGAACAGATCCATCTCCTAATGAAGATGGTGCTACCTTTTAAAGCTGTGCGACTGTTGCCTCAGTAGCAGGCCCCTAAGTATTCATGTTCCTGGCAGAGCTTAATGACCAGTTTGGTGGAATATATGAAGGGATAACATGTAACATATGGGTTAAATGCATGGTCAGTCTTTTCCTCTTTGGCAGGATTAACATTCACCAGAAAATTAGCATTTGTTTAAATGCCATTCTCAATGTGGCCATCAGATCGGGGCTTTCTTTTCACTAAGAATCTTACATTCAAAGTACATCAAAGCTCTTTGTGTTCCCTCTGTTGGTTTGATTTATGGTTGCAATGCTGTCCTGAGCACCTCCTATTACAGCTTTCTGCAGTCCGCAGTGAGTTCTTCCTGGGGAACTCCCTTAGTCTCTGTTGTGTGAGTTCTAAGTAGACTTCACAATGGATTGATTTAGAGATGGAATTTTTTTTTAACCCTGATATCTGAATTTCCAAATTTGTCCATGGAAGAGAGATTTAGACATATAATACTGTGGCTTTTTTGCATGCATATGAACCAGCTTAAACCTAAGGGCTAGTCACAATGCTTAACTTTCATGGAGGAAACGAATGGTCACTAATATCAGAGTTCATTCTAGTTAGTCCCCTTCAAAGGTTCTCAACATTTTCAGAGTTCAGACCACAACTTAACTGAGAAATCATTGTTGTGGACCATCTCTCCTCCCATTTGTGATCCCGAACCTCTTCCGCTCCCATTCAGTTACATAACACCTGCTACAGCAGTTGCTTACATGGAAGGGTCATATTAGGAAGGTATTTACATATTTGCATTAGTAATAGTGCTTTTGCCTTTTTTAAAAGAAAATCAATCACTCCTGTTGTTCTTCATTCCACCTCTCCGTGCTCCAGCCTGTTTTGTTAATTTCAGCTAGAAACAAGAATGACTTACTAGCTCTCCATAGACTACAGTTTGGGAACCTCCAATCTGAGTCAGGGCATGGGACTGGGAATTAAGGAAGCTGAGCTCTGTCATTGACTTGCTGTTATGATGAGCAAGTCACTTAACTTCTCTGTGCCTCGGTTGTCCCATTTGGATCATGAGGGTAATATTTACACTGCTTTTGTAAAGTATTTTTGTCTCTTCAGATGCCAAGGAGTATATGTGTAAAGTATTAAGAGTATTAGTTTATAATGGGAAAAGTTAGGGAAGCATTTTTTAAATGCTCAGTAGATGGTCACTTTTTTGTAAATTAGTCAGTCATGGACATGAGGGAGAAACAAATGGAAAACAGGTAAATCCAATGAAGACTTTTGAAAAAAGGATTGAAAGCAGAGCAATGCCATTAGTACTGTAAAATTAATAGCAAGCACTTGTTAATACAAAGTGCCACTGTGCAAGATTAGTCAGACTGGATTATGGGAGAAAAGTCTCCTATGTATGGGCCTGTTCTATGAAAGATGTATCAGGCATATGCATATACTCAAAGGCGTGTGTGTAGGATATTATAATTATATAGCCCTTGATTTGGCAGTAGGGTCAAGAGAAGAAAAGCTAAAGTACATTGAAAATGTGCAACATATTTTATATAATTTAAAAAATTGGAAATGTAAAATGTTTAATGGAAGCACGATCAGAGCACAACAGATAAAGTTAGTTAAATCTTTTGCTGAGCAGTGTTACTGATCAGTTTAACTGAGACTTACCCTACACTAATTTTCTTTGTTTAATCGTCTGCCTCCGTTAATCCTTATTGCCACTTGTGATTAAATGATCAGTTTGCATATGAAGAAATATTATTAGTGACTGGTTCAGCTTGGGCTTCTTTTTGTCAGCCAAGACGGCTTCTGTTAGCATCTTCTGTCCTGGCTGTATTCTCTCTCCATGAATCTTTAAATTGAGGTAAACTGATGTTTTAAACCAATTATAGATCTATACCGTTCTTGCACTGCTGTTTTCTAGCCCACCTGGTGACATGTAAAAACAATCAAACCATATTGTTTCAATTGTAGAAAGACCCTCTACCAACTGCTATGGTAACATGCTGTGTGGCTGCTGCTGCTGACAAATCAAGACTGCCTTGGCTCTGTAATAGCAGTGACTGAGGTTGAAAGTTGACTAGTGTTTTGTAATTACACTTTCATCTTGCTTAATACATTTTCTGGTTTTTTTCACACATGCCTTTCCCTCCTCTCCTCAATGCTCAAATTTGTGCACATCAAAAAAAGTGGGATGGGGGAAACCTACCACCATTCCCTCAAATGTCCTTAATTGCCAACATACCAAATGACTTAAAGAAAATAGACAAGGTGTGTGTGAGGTAATATATCTTTTAGCCGATTGGCTTCTGTTGGTGGGAGAGACAAGCTTTCGAGCTTACACAGAGCTGTTGTCTCAGCAAGAGAAGTTGGCCCAATAAAAGATATGACCTCAGCCACCTTGACTCTCTCATATTCTGGGACTGACACAGCTACAACCATGCTGCCCACGTTAAATAAAATAGAAAGGAAAGTGGGCAGCGAGGAGGAAGATTGTGGAAAAACAGGAGGGATTGGTAAGGTTTAGCCTGTACAGACAAAGTACTTAAAGGCTTTTTGCAACATAATATGCAGCAGCTTCTTATAATTTTCTCAGCGGTCGGTAGTTTACAGTCATCTGTACCTAGAACAAATCTTGTCAAAAAATGAAGGTCTGTAGTGATTGCTGGGTATAATTTTATACATTTAACTGATTCTTCTGAAAGCTTCAACTGTGCTGCTGTTGTCAGACTAAATTATCAATTTATCCATTTGTTGTTTAATGAATAAAAAAATCCTCCTAAATCCTATCAAACTGGCTTTGGAGATGTTGTGGTTTCAATAAACAATAAGCTTTAATGATTCAAACTACAGAAAGCAAAGTGTGTACTGTATACAAAAGCAATGTTTTTATTCTTTTAAATACCACTTTAGATAAAAAGCCAATTACATATTCACTTAAATACATTTCTTCCCTCAACCCCAGAGATACAGACCAAAACCTGTTTAGTGTTCACTTCAGTACATTGCAAAATGAAACTATAACACAATATACATAAGGTAATAGGCCATTAGCACAAACATGTTCCTTGTCTAAACCTTTTGTATAAGAACCCTTTCTAGAAGCTGCCAATTGTGGGTGATAGAAGTACTATAAAGGAAGTGATTATAATACTGTTTAAGTCATTTAAAGCCAAGACATTTCAGTTTAAAGCCTTAATGGAAAGGTTGCATGTACCCAATACCTTTAAAATGCCCTTCTACTGATTTATATTCAGCCTGAACCTGCTAATAATGAGTATACATAAGCAAATATCTTCTACTTCTTCAGCATGTCATTGGTATGAAAGTCCTAGAAAATATCTCGCGTAATCAATGTGTTCGGAGAGTTATCTAGCACAAATTACTCATTAACTCAATAGCACATAATAAAAAAGAACATCAATTAATTAATGAGTCACCCTCAGATCACTTTGATTACAACACCACTGTTGAAATAGCAGTTATAAATGGAGTTGTTTGGCTTTATTCATTGTTTGCAATTGTCCCATTATTTTGCTGAGACCGGTGTCATATTTAGCACATGCCTGCAGGTAATTGTGTGATTATTTCATAAATGAAGAGGTGAAGGCAGCGCACAGATTATTGTGCTTTACAGAAAAGCCTAAAGAACCAGGAAGCCACCGTGCTTGCATACTGCTCTCTCCTGAAGGTGAACTGCATGTGTGTTGCAGGTTCTTCACTATATTTTAATGCATAAAATTGCTATTGCACCTTTCACCCCATGGTTTCAAAGCTCCATGAATTGAATTGCACTTCACAACATCCTGTGTGGCATTATCCCTATTTTACAGATGAAACTATCGAGGTACAGTGGGTTAGAAGATTTGCTCATGCTCTCACCGTACATCTATGCAACACAAACCCAGCATTAGCTGAGCTTCTAAATGTGCTTTCCCCGATCACTTTACCATGATCCTTTATCAATAGCAGCCCTAATTCTGCAATGACATTGAAGTGGGCATCACCCTCCTTCTCCTCCCCCCCCCACCCCCCCCCAGCTCCTCCTTTCCCTGTCCAGAGCCCCATTAATGTGAACGGGGTTCTGGCAGGAATAGACAAAGCTTACAAAGCTGATTGGAGGGCTGGGGCCATGAACAATATAACATAGATTTCTCTCTTGAGACTGCTACAAAAGCTGATTCTTTTTCTGACCTGAAGCTGCTTAGTACTTTAATTTGAATAATGCTTTTAAAAACCCACGAAATGTGGGTGGCAACTGTGGTGTTTTCAAGCTTTCCTGTCACCTAAAGGTGTTGAAAAAAGAGAGGGAAGCCTAATAAAAGACTACAAAGTCACCACCTAAAGTTCCTAAACTAGCTTGGTTAAATGCCATTCCAATAAGCTTATAGTGTAATTATAACAGTTCCCTTAGGTAAGTAAGAAACATCTGTTAGTAACACATAGCAGGTGTTAGCAATTACACATACTGAATTTTTTTTAAAAAATGTTTTTAATTAAAAAGAATTCTGTTTTCTGAAAAAAGGAAAGCATGATAAGTTAAGCTTTAGTTTGTGTGGCTCTGGATCCTGTCATGCAAAATGATGAAGGTAAAATCACCTTAAAGTAGCAAGAGATTCCATGTTTGTTTCCAGATTATTGCAGTCTGTGCTGGGATTCAGTGTAATTTTAAATACCATATACAACTGGTATTTTAGGGTATTTCACTGACTTTGTGAAATCCATATAGTTCATGTGATCACTGAACACCATCTTCGTAAAATATTTGCACATAGGCAAGGTGGCTGAATTTAAGCAACAAATATAATGGGCATTGTGTGAAGAGGTATAAAAATGCAAGTAATGCTGTCTAATATTTTGATCACATGCTCTTTATCGCACTAGTGGGAAACAGTTTCTCGATTATGCTAGAGAAAAATCAAACACTAATGTCAAATTACTTTGAAGAAATAGCCAAGAGCAATTTATAGTTAATGATGTGATTTGCTGTCGCCATTGAAAAATAACAAGAAAGCTAGATTCACAGTGGAAAGCTAAGCATTTTAGGGCTGTGTTTTAATATAAATTTTTTAAAAAATCAGGTAAGTAACTCATTTGCTCTCTCCTCCAGCCTATGAATATCAAGATCAGAAGCATTTAATGATGAAAATCCTATCCCTGCACACACACCTTTGTTGTCTTTTTAAATAAAAATGTAAAAAACAATCTGTTTTTGAGCAAAGCAGTGAGCACCTATATTAACACAATCTGTGGAACTGCCTTTGTAGCCAGCTGGGACCATTCAAGACCCAGTGATGCTTTTGACAAAAGTATTGTCAAATGCTGGCACGGGAACATATTCTTCGTACAAGCAGGCCTACAGCAGTGTAAATTAGATCATTTTTCTTCCCTTTCTGTCCCACAGTGGTATTCTGCATTTATATATACATGCTCATATAAAAAAGTATGAAAAATAGTATCAATATAGTTATATTAAAGAAAAAATACATTCTTTACTCACATAATTAATTCACGTGCCTCCAGAAAGCCAGAACAGATTTTATTAACTTTTTTCTGCTTTTTAAAAAATATATTTCTCATATTATATTTATCCACAAGGCTACGTTGTAGGTTTTGCTTAACTTCTTTATTTCTTATTTATAACTTATGCCCATTGTTCAGGCCTTGCTCTCCATCTAAATCATGAATATCTTTATTAACTACAGTCAGACAAGTCATTGGCAGTATCTGTATAACAGTCTCCAGGATAGAAGAAATAGCTGAGTATGTAAAGCCTTTTTTAGTCTGAAAAGGAGATGTCATATTATATGAGCAAGAACTTTTCTGTACTTAAAATTAATATTTATACACACATTTTATGGGCCATCCATACTGTTGGTCAGTGTCCAGTGTCCAGAAATGGTTTGTTCAGATCAGCTGACATAGGAGATATATGAAGGTATAACACAAGAACAGATTTAATAGTATTTTAAATACCCAAAGAATTGTCACTATCTAGTACACAGTGTAGGAAATGTCTCTTGGACTTTGCCATTTAATACTTTGGAAGTTGAAGGTGGCCGTAGTTTGAAAGGGAAGGTATCAGGTGGATTATTGACAACAGGCATGTAACTGGCAAAAGTCACTCATTGAGAATAGCAGTCACATGTTGGCCCTGCTGTCACTCCCTCAGTCAGTCAGCTGAAATGTCACTTGAAAGCAAGTCTGCACACAATGAGGAAGATTCCCCCTTTCAGCTCTCTCCTTCCAGCCCCTAAAGATACTTTGGGGTTTTCCTCTCCCCATCTCCTTGCTGTAGGGTTGGAAGGGGGCAAAGTAGGTGGTCAGCTCCATTGCTTTCTGGCCTTCAGCAATACCAAATTTCATCACCCTGGTGGAAGAGGAGGAAAGGGCAGGGCGTAGCTGAAGAGAGGCACAAGAGGGAATGCAGAGATGGAAGACAGACAGGGAAGAGAACAAACCATGTAAGTACAAATAGGAAGATAATGCACCAGGGCTGGGAGTCAAAGTGGATGGGTTCCATTTGCAGCTCTGCCACTGACTTCCTGTATGGCAGAATGTCATGGTGCTTCTCTTTGCCTCAGCTCTCCCACTGATTAAATGAGGACAAGAATCCTGACTTAGGTATTTTCATCTGCCTGGGAGCTAAGTGCCTCTCATAAACGTATCATTCATAAATTAATTATAGAAGCGGAGAGAGAGACTCAGAAGAAGATTGCCCCCTTCACACACGTGCCAACTACACACATTTTGTCTCAAGGAACTGACTAGGACATGTCAGCTATGTACACATTTGGAGACTAAGGAAACTAGACTGAGCCTATCAAGTTCCTATGGACGTGCAAATATATCAAATAGCAATTTGACCAAAATAGCCAGGGTGTTCTGGAGGTTGGTTCTGTTGACTGAGGCAATTTGACCACCCTCTAGTCCTCCACACAAATTGTTGCTCAGTACTTGCCCTAAGAGGCCAAGATTGTGTCTTGCTCTGAGCACCCACTCAGATCCATCAAGGGCTCCCTCTTCTGTGCAGCCCACACACATTGCAAGCTATAGCATGGGGGAGGGTGCCTTCTGTAGGTCACTCCCTTGCCATCCGTCCTCAAGTAGGCAGGGACTGGTTAGCCAAGGTTGTATGGCCCAAAGGTTAGGACATTGGTCTGAGATAAAGGCAGTCTGGTTCAGTGCCCTGCTGGATGAGTCATGTAGGCCCAGCTGATCAAAGTCATTTAGGCTTCTAACTGCCATTGATTTCAAGGGTTACGTCTAGATTGCATCCCTTTTTCGTAAAAGGGATGCAAATTAGACGTATCGCAATTGAAGCGGGGATTTAAATCCCCCCTGCTTCATTAGCATAAAAAGGGCTGCCGCTTTTTTTCGGCACGGAGCTTTGTCGGAAAAAAACGCCAGTCTAGACGCGGATCTTTCGGAAAATAAAGCCTTTTCCAAAAGATCCCTTATCCCTCTTAAAATAAGGGAAAAGGGATCTTTCAGAAAAGGCTTTATTTTCCGAAAGATCCGCGTCTAGACTGGCGTTTTTTTCCGACAAAGCTCCGTGCCGAAAAAAAGCGGCAGCCATTTTTATGCTAATGAAGCAGGGGAGATTTAAATCCCCGCTTCATTAGCAATTGTGGTATGTCTAATTTGCATCCCTTTTACGAAAAAGGGAGGCAATCTAGATATAGCCAAGGAGTTTATAAAGAGCTTGGTTTTTTTGAGGAGAGGTTCATTCTGAAGTTTTATTGTGCCATGAAAATAAAGCACTTCTGATATATTTTTAGTTGATGGCATTACAAGTAGAGCTTTTGGCTTTTTTAAAAAAAGTC